AGGCAAATTATTCCCAGACATGGTAAAATTGCAGTGTACACTGTTAAACAGAAACTGATATGTTACATTCATTTAAAGGGCCATACAGGATTTCCTTAAATGCTCAAGGGGAATAAAAGTTTTCTTTAGCACCATAAAACAAGAGCAACTGAATAGAAAGGTGCTTCTGGTTCTCTGGAAGCTAATTTAAGGAGGAGTACATTCAAGTCTGCAGGCAGCAGTTCAAAGCACCTGCAGCAGCGTAAGGGCCACAGGACGCAAAACAGATCATCTCCTTAGATTTCTGCCCTGCTTCCTGGTGGGAGTAAATGACAAAAGGAGCTGGACTTGGACCTTTCTGAAACCTATCTCACAGTTTCTAAATATACCCCCTTTGTGCTTTTTGAAGAGTCCATGATTCTTTCTCTAGAAGGGCAGTTAGAGCTAAAGCACTTCTTGCTGTCTTTTTTCTTCTTCCCCGCTCACCACCAGCAAGTGCCTGCAGGCGCCATGCTGCATGAACCTAGCGCTCTCACCCTCCTTTGGCTTTGCTTTCGATCTAATTGTTTCTATCCCCACCCTTCCAATGGCTGTTCCTTAATGTCATTTATTTACCTGAGAAACCGATTCTTTTTAAGCCTTGCTTCATCCTAAGGTACCACGCTCTTGCTTTAATCCTCCGTACAACCCTATTTATCTATGTATTATTTTTTGCATTTAAAAGAATTTGTAATCTCCTGGAAACAGACAGAGGCTCATTCCCAAGGAGAAGGCTCATGAACTGTCTTTTCCTTGGTCACCTTTAAGCAGAGGTACTTAAAGGTGAGTCCAGGTTTTGCACCGCACAGCTACAGTCAGAGCTGGGGAAAGTTACTCCTTGGAACCAAAATCAAATCCAACAATAGGACCGTGAAAATCTCTCCTAGTGTAGCTGTGCTCAGTTGCACAGTGCAGGTGGCTGCACAACTGTTTTGCACATTGGGTGCTGCAACTGCTTGCATAGGCATATGGAATATTATCCCTTGCATTAATCCCTAAAATTTTCAACTGTTAGTGCAAACGAGTCTTGCACTAGTAGTACAAAGACATCAAATGATACCAGCCTTGGACTACAACTCCCGAAATGGCTGTGTTGGCTCAGGGGATTTTGGCGAGTGTGGTAGTCCAAAACAGTAACTTTTCTCAGCTGTACCAGAGATTTGTAAGACCTGGTTCCTCAGTGACATTGGCTCAGGCATAGCAGATGTGGGGTGTGCTATAGTTCAACTGGTGTAACCAAAATGAGGGTCAGGAAATGAAGAAGGCAAAAAACACAGCAGGGCCTCCTGTGTGTTTGTTTTTACGGGACGGCTGGAAACAGTTTTGTGCAATGGAGCAAAGCTCAGGGTGTAGACACATTTCTCATTGATTGAACAGTTGTTGTTTTTTTCTCTTTGACCAGAGGGATGTCTCACTGCCCTCCCACCAAAAAGTATGCCTGCTGTAAGTAGCAAAGTTTTATCTCAAACTCGGTGGAGTTCAACTGGCTTCCCCTAGCCTTTCTCAGCATCTCATGTTACACAGCCTGCAGCAGGGTTTCCTGGACCTTTCCAGACCCAGGTTCACATGCAGGTTTGCACTCAGCTAATGGTAACTCTCATGTTACAATGTTCATGTGCCAAAATACTATGCCACCTCCCTTTTTTGAACAGGAGATAATAAATGACCTTAAGATGCTGGCTTAGAATGGACAGAGAACACTTCTTAGAACATAAATGTTTGCATTTTGGCTTCCACACTTAAAAACTAAAACATACTGTATGGCAACAACTGAGAAAAGGCTCTGTGCATGCTTGTATAATTCACAATTTTCACCCTCAAACCACAAGTGGTAACCAGGAAAGGATTTGACTGTTGCTTTCTGATGTTTTGGAAGTGGAAGGACATGACTTATGCACACATGGTCACCATCAAAACTAAGATGCTCCTTACATTTTTGTACAGTAGTGCCTCGCTAGATTGTTGCCTCGTGGGACGAAAAACCTGCAAGACGATTGGTTTTTGCAATCACTATGGTGCCTCGCAAGACGTTTTTTTCCTATGCCCGTGCTTCGCAAGACTTTTTTTTTTAGACCACTGCTTTGCAAGACTTTTTTTTTTAGACCAATGCATAGGGAACCTCGCAAGATGATTTTTTCACAAGACGATGATTTTCTGGGAACAAATGAAAATTGTCTTGCGAGGCACCACTGTATTTGGATTCCAAGATGAAAATCGCTGTGTTACTGCAGTTAAGATTTTCAGAAGAGTCATCAGCCCAATAATCCTTGTGACTAGGCCATGGCAGTATTCTCTCTTTTTTCACCTACTACCCATTTTTTCACCTACTGTTACTGTCCCAAAGGGCAGAGCAGTTTTAAGGGCAAGAACCCAAATGAGACGAAACTTAGGCACTCTTGATGAAAGGGCTGCAAGATAGGAAGCAAGTTAGTGATGACATGAAGAAGCATAGAAAAGAAGGGGTGGTGGAGGAGAAGGTCCAGAATCGAGAGACTGCTTGGCTGTGCAAAAAGTGACAAGCAACGTGTAATTTGTTCAAACTTAGGGGTCTTCCTGACAGAGCCTCAGTGGTGAGGACAACTGGGAGAGGAAAAATATGGTGCAAGATGCCGAACGTTAGCGCCTTCTCAACTTTGGGGAATGCAGCAATGAAAAAGAAATCAAGTCAAGCGAAGACATTATGAAGGCAGGAATTAGGTTTTTGGCAAATGCAGGAAGAAGACAAAGTGCTTATGACAATGTTACACTGAGGTAGTAGTAAGGGAGGTGTATCACTGCAGGGTGTGCATGTTGGTTCCATAGGATGTCGAAGGATCGTGTGTGTATGAGTACAGATGCATATGGGAAATCAGGTGGCATAATTATGGGTAGGCAGGTGGAATGTGGATGAGAACTGGGTGTCAGTGACAAGAAAGTCTAAAAGGCTTAGGTGAAAGCAAAGGAGGCAGCACTTACAGCTGAATTAAAGCAGGGGTCAAGAGGGAAAGAAGCATATTGAATGCAGTTTTCCAAGATTCAGTAAAAGGGATGGTGTTTCCTTATTTCCTGTACACATCTCTTATTGCACATTTAAGAAACAGGTAAACAGTTGCTGAATATTTCAGTACAACTTAGCTTATTATGCATTATCCTCAGTATGTTTAATTTACAGGTTATGAGACAAGTTTATGTAGAAGGATGGGGTCAAGTCGGCTCGGGGACATAGAAAGCATATATTTCTAGTTGCCTCGTGCCAGTCTCCCCTCCCAGTTCCACAGAGGCAGGATAGCATCCACCACAACAGGCGAGGGAAAGCCACTCTCATCTGTCTCCTCCAGAGACAGTCACGACAGTTGATTTGTTCAGCCATGGCTCTTAGGAGAGAGCCCAGTCTCCATGTCCACTGGCTGGGTGGGCTGGTGAGTTCTGGGAGTCACAGGAGGGGAAAAAAACCCAAAATATGGTTTCGTCCATATCTGCTGTCGTCTCAACAAGCCAGACTTGCATCAGAGCAGGAAAATCACAGCTATCTTAGTTAACAATTCATTAGATGGGACAGTAATGTCTATAGTTCCCAACCTTGGGTGCCCAGAGGGTCTTGGAGTAGAACTTCCAGAAATCCTGGCCAGCAGAGCTAGTGATGAAAGCTTCTGGGAGTTGTAGTCTAGGAACATCTGGGGACCCAAGGTTGGGAACCACTGTGAGGAGACTTTATACAGAAAAAGAGAGAGCGATAAACCAATTTGTAATTACAGACCTTTTGAGAGTAGCAGACAGGATGCTGCCATTCCTAGTGGTAGGTGAGAAAGACCACTTTGAATGCTATGCTTCTGAAGGAGGGAAATCTTCATGTTAAAAGCCAGCACACTGAATGTAGTCCACTATATATCTGTTTGTGCTTATTTTCTAACCACAGGATTTAAAAAAAATACAGTAGAGCATTTTAAAAATGTGATTCCCTCCTCCTTTTGTGGGCAGCAGTCACAAATCACACCCAACCACCTCCTTCTGCATGTGCCGATGGTGACTCTGGGTGCCTGTGACATATTCAGACACCCACTCGTGTGCCCAAACAGACTGAAGCTTGTAAAACCTGTTTGTGCCCTTTCCAGTACACCTCTGGTGTTTTGCAGTAGCGTTTTGGCCGTTCATGTGTTTAGGGAGACTAAGATGAAAAGGGTAGGTGGTTTTCAGTTAGGGATTCAGTCATCTGAACGTTGCAACCTATTACAAGTGGGATCACCATGGGGGGGGGCTCATGTTCTGCTTTGCTCACAAGCTTTCAGATGACTAGCTCTCTCTGATGGCAGAAACGAACTCTGGCTGTCTTGTCTGAAACCACTCCTGGTGGGGCTACTGCGCGAGGGGAGAAAGGCAGGGCATGAACTGTGGCTTTTGGCATCCTCTCCACACCAGCTCAGTAGATGCCAGATAAAAACACCCAATTAGGAATGGGATTAACTTCCTTGAGTTTGCTGCAGTCTGTAATATAGCAGAGTGAAAGATAAAGCCCACCAGAAAAGTTAGGCGAGAGACCACAGGAGAAGGAAAGTGGAACATCAACAAGAAAAGATTTGGGAGGGTCTCAAAGACACAGTGGTTCAAGAGGGGACTTCATATAGATGCCAGTGAAGGTGTTAAGTGAGATTCTGTCATGGTATCCGAGGGTGCAGCAGAGGAGAGGAGAGGAGAAACACAGCAGGCAAGATTTAACAGCTAACTGTTCATGGCCAGAATCCTGCTGGTGTTCATTTAGGATTTTTGTAATTTGGCTGTGGCTTATTGAGGTGGAACGAAAGCAGGTCTTGGTAAGATGCCTGCTCGTGCAAGCTACGTGCCCTCCAGTGGCTCAACAGTTAGCCACAGCCTTTTATGCTAAGCTTACATGAACATCAGTAGGATTCCAGCCAGTGAGAACTAGGTTGGGACTCATACGAAGCTCATTCCCAGCTAGTCAAACCCTTGGTCCTTTCCTGCAAACTTCCTCAGCTGGGCGTGGAGAGCAGAACCTTATGGCTTGCAATATTGACCCCTCTTCCTGCTTGGTTCTAATGATGCCTCTGCTGAAGAAGTGGAGAGCTCTGGGGTCCCACAGCACATGACATGGGGGGGTAGTGACAGAAGGACTCATTGGACAGTCCTCTTGCTGCTTGAGAAGCTGGCTAGGGGGGCTCTTCCTTCTCCCACCCCCGTAAAAAGAAGGCTCTTCTTTGACTTCAACCTGCATTCACAGCTTAGTGGAATTCAGGCCAGCAGCCAGAATCATTACGGGCAGCACCTGGATGCTCCTCTTGCCCGTCTAACCTGCAAGTCTACCCTGGCTCATCCGGGCATGACATTTTCCCTCCCCACTATTCCTGTAAGGTAACGATCCACCAAAGTGCCTGGAAATCCAGCAAGGAGCAGCCAAAGGCCAGCCAAGCCCTTCACCCTCATGGTTTAGATTCGGAAAGTGTATTGCTTTCAGTTCATGGCCCAACAGCCTTGAGTTTCAAGTATTAGCATCTTAATCTCTGATTGAAAGAAAAAAGGCTCTCAGCAAGGCAACCTCTGTCGTTTTGACTTCTCAGAGCGCTCTTTCCTGTGGAAAAATAGTTGCTTTCACTTGCTCAACACAAAGGCTTCTGAAGCATCCCTGTTGAGCTCTGTGTCTACATGAATGGGGGGGGGGGAGAGATTAATGTTAGGCTCAGTGAGGCAGCTGTGAACTGAACTGCTCCTCCCACCTCAGGTGGCAGGAGGGCTTGGGCCATCCCCCCAAGCTAAGGAGAGAAGATATTTCTGCTTGAAAAAGGAACCATACCCATCATGCACACATACAGGAGCCCAAAGAGCACAATCCAGAAGAGAAGTCAGATTACATCCCAGGGAAAGCAATGAAAGAGGATTTGGTCACGCTAGTCCCCCGTCCCTGGAATGCTTTGTGTTCTTTCAACAAACTGTTCTCCAGTCACATCCATGTTACAGTTTCCTAGCGCATGAAGTCCTAACAATATCTCTCTGCCTTGGATTCTCAAAGGCTTCCCAAGCTGGCAGGCCTCTTGCATTGTCAAGTTTTTACAATAAATAAGCAGCAAAATGCACAGGCTCAGGTAGACAGAAAAAATTAAAAGCAATATCCTTTTTTTCCTCCCCCTTTCCCCTTGTAAGGAGTGAAATAAGGCCTTCATTAAGCAGCCAACACTGATTAATTCCTTGGAAAAGCACATTATTATTATTGTTACTAGCAATTTTTCTGGCCCCCAATCGATGAGAATAGCAGGCGTTCCACTCCCTGTCGAAGGATGCAGAGTCGACCTATAAATTCATAGTTAGAATAAAAACCTGTGGGTTTTGTTTTGTTTTACAAGCCTTCAAACAATATTGACACCAGAGGTTAAAACATTAGAAAACCCCAAAGCTTGGATCAATGGTCTTTCCTGCCAGGAGAAGCTTTTAAAATGGTGGCAAAACCACTTAAAAATGAAATTCCAATACAGTGTATATGAAATGGGTTAGTTCTGATTTTTTCTCACTAATTTTAGAATTTATCCCATGCTGCATTATAAAATATAGAAAACTGATACAAAGTATCAACAATACAACTGTTCTCTTGAAATTATCTCCAGTTAGAGTTTTTGCTTTAAATAAAACAGGTGGTAGAAAACAGATGTGTTTTTTTAATTGCTTGAGTTTCCAGTAAACTTACCTTGAGTGACACTGTTAAATATTCTCAGTCTTTCAGCAGAACAGCAATCCTAGGCTGATTTTTTAAAAAATATTTGATCAATACTTTCCAGAGGGCACCAACATTTTCCAAATTTCCACATCACAGTTCTCCCACCCTCCTGACCCAGCCTCCTTTTGAGCCACAGGGGCAAAATGTATTAAATGAGGTAAGTCAATTTGGCACGCATATGTAGTCTTGTCCATAAAACTTTTGGTACATTTGTAGTATGTGATCAACATCATTTTCATAGTGGTGATTTCCAATGGGGTGACTAATTACATCCCTGGAATGTTTTTAGTAAACCAAAAGGCAAAAAATAGCTCCAGAAAACACTCACAACCCATTGCTGATAAGAGATGTAAAAATATGTACAGTACAACACTTGTTCAGAGTTTGGCACAATTTGTGTGGTTGTTGTAGACAATAGTGCATCAACAACTGTACAACAGTACGACTTTTGAAACACAGGGAATACCATGTTAGTTTTGCTTCCAAAGAATAAAAGTCCCACAATTTCAAACTTTTGATTTCAGCACTTAACACTTCAACATATTACAAGGCATTGTTATTTTTTTTCTTTTTGAGCAAGTAAAAGAGGGGGGCATAAACAAAGATTTTTTAAAAAGAAAAGAAAAACAACCCAAACAAGCATCAAATGTCTTTCTAGAAAAAGGTGTCTCTTCTTCAAATACAGGTAAAACCAAAAATGCTGTTTCTGCTTTAAGAAGAATGAAGTCTGTTTCCCTGCAGAAAAACCAAACATTTTATGCCATCTTAGTTAGCTTGTGTGGAGTCACGTATGCTCTTAACTTGGATAGAGAAGATGAAGCTTTATATGGTGCAGGTTAGGATATAAACAGCAGAGGGGGCTAGAAAGCACACAGAATAGCCACATGGCAATCAGCTAGGAATGGGTTGTTATTCTACTAACTAAAGACCCTTTTCGTTTGGATATCTTGGCTTTTTTTTTTTTGGATGCATAACCTCTTTTTTTTGTATTTAATTTTTTACAAAATGTTCCAAAAAACGTCTGTTTTCCTTTTTCTGAAACCTTTTTTTAAAAAAGCACATAATTAACCCTTAAAATAAATAAAAGGAATTAAAAACTGAAGAAGCCAAACAGCAAGAAAAAGAAGTAGCCTTGTTAGTTTGTTTTTAACCCCAGCCCAAGCCAGAAAAATAATAATTAAAAAAAGGTCATTCTTTTAGGTAGCTTGCAAGAAATAAGTATTTGCATGCATTTTTTTTGAGAACAAAAACAAGAACAACAACAACAACCAAAAAGAAAGACCTGTAAAAGGGGAATGTCTCTTTCATGCAACTCTCGCTTTCACAGGAAGGAAAAAATGAGGAATAATGGGCTTAGCAGGTAGTAGGAAAGTTAAGGGTGCATTCCAGCCAGTTTGGTGCAGCATTACCTCAGTTTCTCAAATGAAGCTGTCACAGATGGGTCTTTATGGGGCTGCTCACGTTCTGCTCGCTTCACTTTACAGTTCTCATCCCTCAGTGACTTAGAAGTGGATTTATGCCGATACAGCTTTTTATGAGTAGGCTCGTTTTTGGCTAAAGTGCTCAGGTTACTATAGCTTTTATCAAAAAAGGGAGAGTGAATGTCTGTGGAATACCCAGTCGAACAATTGGGGCGTCCTCCAGGGTCGCACGAGGTGGCTCGGCTGCTGGTTTTGCTCAGGTTTTTGCTTCCCGGTTTGTGACTTTTCCCTGTTCCCGGAGAATTGGCGTTCACCTTTTTCTTGGATTCCTGGGATGTTCCTGCCAGAATCTTAAGAGTTTTCAATTTCAGGCTGTTTGACTCCGGGGACCGGAAGAGATCAGAGACATTGTTGTGACCAATAGGGCCCCACAGAGGTTCGATGGAGGCCATCATGAATCTCTGAACATCTGCCATTCCAGATGCAATGTTTGATAAAATATTGGACGGCTCCTCAAATTCCCTTTGATCATCATCAAGGAGGCTGCTGGCATGTCCGATGCCAGTCTCCGACCAGCCTCCGCCACTGTCTTTTCCCAGGGACCAATCCCCGGGCAGTCCGTTATGTTTCCCTACCCGCATGGAGGTGGGGCTGCCGTGCCGAATGGATTCTGCCAACACTTTTGTTGCTGAGGCTAAATTGCTTAAGGGGGGTGCCACTCTGCCCCCAACACTCGGAGTCTTTTCCCCATTAATGCCACCTGCATTTTTCCCCTTCCTTGTTGATTTGGGCACTTGCCTAGAATTCTTGCCTGGAGGCTTTTCAGTCCCTTTGTTGGCTTTGGGCGATTTTTTCCGAACATTTTTCTGGGGAAGGCTTTGGTTTGTACCCACGTTTTTACTAGACGAACTTTTCCTCTTTGATTTTGACACTTTGCTATTGGTGCTAATTTGGCCAGATGGCTCATTAAATGTTGACAGGCATGGGCTTTTTTCAAGGAGGCTGACAGAATCCTCATCGTTGAACATATGGAACTGAAACTGGTGATTATTTAAAGTGAATCCATTATCTGCCTGGTCTTGGGCCTGGAGAACCCCACAGCCCCACTTGACCTTCTCTGGATTGCTTAGCACAGCTTGAGAATTATCGGGAAAACATTTCATGTTTCCTAGCGGTTTGCTTTCTGAGCCAGCTATCTGCGGGGAAAGGTTAGGGGTGTCTGGAGGAGACATTTCAGACAGGGAGGACTGGCGGAACTTATCAGGTGTGAAGTTGGAAATATCTAAAAGATCGGTTGACTCCTTCAAAGGCGTAATTTCATCTATGCTTTGCTGAATCACAAGTTTGGGGCTACAATGGGCCAAGAAATCATCGGCAATGTCATCATCCCCATCCTTTTCACAGGACTTTAAACTCAGGGAGCTGTAATTGCTAGAACTTACCGACAAAGAGCCCACGGAATCAAAACTAACGAGTCTCCCATCGTCCGTACTGAGCGTAGCTCTCTGGAAATGAAAATGCCCCTCTCTGTTACTAAAATTACAGGACTGGTAAGAGTCATCAGATGGTAGTTGCTGGTTATCTGGCATGTATTTTTTTTGGTATAGTAATTTGCTGCTACTCAGACTAACTTGATTGTATCCAGAGGCTGGGGTGTTCTCGGTACCTGTGCAGCCACCAAACTCTGCCGCCGACATCACCGAAGCCTCTTGCAACTCACTTGCAAATTCCTGGCTGTTGCTACCTCCTCCTTTGCTAGCTGGCCACATGCCTCCGAAGCTGCCCGGCTCAATTTCCAAACGGCTCGGGGACTGCTGCAGCTCTGATTCAGAAGGTGGGGACAGGATGCAGCTCTGAGCCGGCTGCAGAGGACAGAAGGATTTGTCTGCCTGTACGAGGCTGGGGAGTGGGTCCTGTTGCTGCTGCTGCTGCTCAGGGGGTTGAGGACTGAAGTAGGCGATGCCAGTGCTGCTCGACAAATCAGAGGCATCTAACAATGTCTGCAAATACCCCCCAGGGATGAGGGGCACATTAGCAGCAAGATTGGCAGATGGCGGAGGCTTGTCTGAAGAGCAGGTGGCGGTGGGTAGAAACGATGAGGAATTTTTAGCAACCTTATCCTCCTGGCACTCGGAAAGGCGAGAGCCGTCTGCAGCACAAGGAACACTTTCGTCCTTTAAACTTGTTGCAGTCTCCTGGTTCTCCAAGGCCAGGGAGGCTTCTGCAAGATGGGGGGTGGCAGCAGCGGCGGCAGCAGCAGCTTTCATGCGTTTGCATTTCAACCTGGCTTCACTTTTGAACTTAATTCTGCGCAAGACCTTCCTCTCGGGGCCCTTAAATCCCCTGTCTTGCAATTTGCATTTCGGTGATACGAGGCTGGCAATGTCACTCAAATGCAGACCGTTTGCACAGCTAGGGGTCGTGAGGGCTAAGGCCTGCATCCCTTTCAAGCTTCCTACCTCATCTCCAATCCTACGGCAAATCTGCTTCGGATCTGAAGAGCAAGAGCCTGGCTTGCCCACAGGTTGCTCGATGGCCTTGATCCTCTGGATCCGGTGCCTGTTTGCTAGTTTACACTTTCGTTTCCGTGGGTGAGGCAGGAAGGAGACCTCAGAGCCATTGAGATAGAAGCTTTGCTTGCGATAGAGCGCTGATTTGAGGAAGCTGAGGCGGCTCTGCCACCTCTCCTGCCAGAACGCCTTCAACGGGGCCAGCTTGGCATATTTGCTCAAGAGTTCCTCACTCAAGGTAACTGTCGTCTCACTGGCATCCACTTTGCTGAGCTTAACTAGCATGTGCTTCTCCCCTTTGAACCGGTTGATGATGATATATTTGATGATGACTGGGGGTTCCTTGCGAGAAACTTTTCGCCTCTTCTTTGGACACCACTCGTCGTCATCCTCCTCCTTGGGTCCATCTGGAATCCACTCCTTCTTATCCACAATCTTCTCACTCTCGATGGAATCCACGTCATACAGGTAGTCATCACTGTATCGCACTTTCCTCTTTGCTCGCAGGCCGTAGTTTTGTTGAATGAAAGAGCTAGAGTGGTCTCTGGGCAGGTACTTGTTGCAATCCTTAAGATCCTGGAGCACATCAAATGAAGATTCAGTGCAGGTGCTGTCATCACTGAATTCCCCAGAGTCCTCCGTGGAATTCACGATTTCCAAGAAGTGGTTTCTTTTGGGACCAATGTACTGTAGCACTTCAGTACTGGTGCAAGATCTGTTTAAGGCCACTTTCTCACCCTCCACCACCTCCTCCTCTTCCTCCTCTTCCTCCTCCTCCTCTTCTCCCCGCTCTCCGTCTCCCTCTTCTTCCCCCCAAATGATGCTGTCTTCAGATTTGAATTGGGAGGCATCTCCAGCCCCTCGCGGCCCCCTTTTCAAGGCTGTTCTGCCTTCTCGCTTCGGGCATCCGCTGAACACACTCGGGAAGAAGTTAAACTGGGCATCCTCTTGCGCTAGAGCCCCAGTCTTCTCCCTCACGTTGTCCTGGAAGGATTCGTATCGGATCTTTAAGGAGCAGACGTCACTTCCCAAGGTTGAATCATCATCGTCAAACATGTAATTATCCACATCTTCCTCAGAAAACAGATTTACAGAAAGCTCGTTTTTGGAGCAAAGGTCCAGCAGCTCAATTTTACTTTCACTAATGAAAGATTCAAAATATCCCCACTCCTGGTTGGGATTTGTTAATAAAGGTTCCTCCCCATTGCACTTGTCTAACAGTAATCCCTCATAATAATTTTTCTGAGTGGGGTCCTCTGAATCACTGTCAGATTTCTCAGCATCTCTTTTGTCTGCTGCTCTTGATTTATGCATCGGGAAGCTTAAAAGCTGGTCTGAAAGCAGTTGATCTCCATATCTCATGCTTTCTCCTGTGCTCATGCAATGAATCCCTATATCAGAGACGGAACAGGTGTCATAATCCCTATTTATATCACCTACTTTCAGGCTTATTCCCGGTTCTGCATCTATGCCGTCCTTTGATTCAATAAAGCAGCCCAGGCAGGTCCGGCTTGGCTGCATCAAGCAGTCACCGGTGAGTGCTGAAATGCTCCCGGGCTCCATCATGGTGAACGGAGCCTTCTCACAGTCGCCCGGCAGAGACCAGGTGCTCATGCCCTTTGTGACACACGATGTCAGGGAAATGGCGTGGACAGAGGAGGAGTCATCGGAAATGTGATCAGGCACATCGGCCAGTCTCAGAGGGGAGGGAGGGCTCAGCCAACAGGGTTTCTTTGAAGTCAGGGCCGGCTGGGCTCGGTGGCAGCCTTGGCTTTCTTTCTGAACCGTCACCGTCAGGGCCGGGAAGGGAACTGCCGCGTCTGCAGCACGCAAGGGCTTCTCGTCGCCATCCAGGTCATGTGAGTCTGAAAGAGCGAAGAGGAAGAGAAGGAGGGCGAGTTACAATCTGGGCATCTGAATAACTGAATCATAGTCTTCTAGAATGAGAAGCGATCCAAAAGACCGTCTAACCACCTACCAGTGGAGAAATCTACCGCTAAAGCATTGCTAGCAGATAGCTATCAAACCTCCGTTAAAAAACAAACAAACAATGGCAGAGATTCCACCACCTGACGTAATTCATGCCCCTTGGTGAATAGCTCCTGCCATCAGGAGATGGTTCCTAATTTTTAACTGGAATCTTTTTTGTCCCTTAGATCCTACTCTGCAGAGCTTCATAAAATATGGTTGCTCTTATTTTCGATGTGACAACCCTTCAGCTACTTGAAGACAGCGGTTACATCCTTCGCCTGGATACGTTTTATGTTGTTGATAGCCTTTGTAAACGGTAATGCCCAGGAAATAAAAAAAATGGCCGTGTGCAGCTTTCAGGTACTTAATAGAATGGATTGGTTACAAGTTTAGTCATGCCTGGGGCCAGACTGTACAATACTTGCCTAGCAGCTGCCTCTTTTTTTCTTGAGACATCCAGTCTGGCCTGGAATCTAGTGGGCCTTTAGCCCTTTGCCCTTTATATTGAGAGTCTTTTGCCTGCCATTTTTGTTGCCCCCAGATGATCTGTTTGATCTGTTTACATTAATAGATAATTTTCCGGCCATAAAAAGGACACGAGGTGGAACCCATACCAGGCCCAACTCAAGGAGCAAAGGGACGAAGCTCCTTCAGTTAGATTCTTTGTATGGACTGGGCTTGGTGTGCTGAATCTAGAGGTATGAAGTGGGAAAAGCTTCATTGCTGGCTACAGCCGTGAAACAGCAACTGCTTTAGACTTTGCAGCAGAACCACTATGAGTAAACCTGGACAGAACCTGCTGTGGGAAGGAACATGAATATGAAACAAGGTGAAAGTGTCTGTGTACCTTCTTCTAGGAACATGGTATTGGGGCCTAGAATCAGGTGCCGGATCTAAATGATTAGCAATGATCCAAATAAAGAAGGGAAATGAATATGGTGAAAGGGAACCTTCATGGCTCCTGAGAGAACGTTTAGACAAAGTATCAGAGGAAGAAGTTATGTGGGTTTTTTAAACATTTTCATAACTTGTCCATTCACCCCCAACTGTTCTGCCTTTAAGTCCTGCTTACAGAATTTAAAAGCAAGGAATTCCCATTCTAAGCCTTTATATTCTCATTATTAGCACAAGTGTTTTTACAAGCAGAACCCATTGGCTTTCCTTGGAACCAGCGTTGAACATGATCTCTCACTGTATAGGCTTGCAGTTTAGTTTTGGCGGTGCACCCCTTCCTATAATTAGATTTTCTTACCATCCTCTTTCACCCCATTAATCAGGATTGCTTCTTGGTCTTCTGAGGCACAATCCTTATCTTGTTGGTCATCCATCAATGTAATCTCCAGTTGTTCACTCCATGCTCTGCTGCAGCTAGTCAGCCTGTCCATGTGCAAAAAACATTAATTACAGACATTGGAAATCTTAAAATCAAGAACATTAATTAGCCCATCTTGACATTTACTGTATTTTTTTATTCAGATCAAAAGCAAGTAGAAAAGTGGGATTCTATATGGACTCCTCCAGAGGGTCAGAATAAAGAACTAGACTTTTCTATTGAGTGTTTTCACCACTGTGCCCAGGCTGAGATCATTCAGGAGGGACACAATTTACCATACAATATATATGGGCAAGGATTATTATCCACCTCTGTAAGGCCATCCTAAGGTATTGGCATGAGCTTCCTCTGAAGGCAGGCAGATGTGCTGTCACTCTGTATCCGGAGGGAGGGTATAATATGTTCCCTGTTGCAAGAATGCGATGGGATTGCTTCTATTCCCCTAACCCGTGATCTGAACCAACGACTAACCAGTAAACCCTGGGGAAACATAACCAACACTCCCTTCTGTTGGGAAACCACTGAAGCTCAGCATTAATGCACGCATTGTTCACAGTGCGGGAGCAGTTTTCCTAGTACATGGCCATGGTCCTGGGCACAGAATGACCACAGTCTTGCATTAGCAATGCTTATTCTCCGACACCCTTGGTTATGACATCTTCCCTTACTGGAAATGACCAGTGCAGCTTGCCATAGGCAAGCGCAAAGGAGTCGTAGTGTCCCAGCCCACTTAGACCGAGGATGGAAATCGTGCAGTCAGGACCATCTGTTTTTGACTTTTCGTGCCACATTTCCCAGTGGCATCACTAGGATTTGAACCACAACGATTTCTTAGGGCTACAAAAAGAGTGAGGAGAGGCAATGGGTCACATCTGGGCCACCGTAATAGAAATACTTCGAGCTTGTTTGGTATTCTAATTGTTCTCTTCTCTAATAATACCGTTAGCTGAATCCGTCTTTGTGAAAAAAAAATGTAATCCAATAAATACTTCTAATACAAATATAATAATATACATTTTATGAATCTACTATGTGTACATCTGATTCAGGAATAATAAATACATTAAATGCACACAAAGCCTTTTTTAAAAAATCAAAATCTGCCTGCTACCTTGCTGAGGAAAAAAGGAGGCTTGATAGGTCCCTGCCATGCCCTTTTCTCAGCTAAAGAGTGAGGATGCTGTGATGTGAGCCTTTTAAAGGGGCCAATGCATACTTGAATGCTTCTATGTGTAGTCGCTTGGATTGGAGCCATCACCTCTTTTCTATCATTACCTTTCACACATAACCAACTTGCCAGATTTGCCTTAGAGGGTTGGGTTTTTTTTAATTCCCACCCAGCTGTGTGCACAAATTTACACATTAGCAATTCACCCAATTAGCTGAAGGTGTCATCATTAGACATAAAGACATATCATTTAATTGCCTCTTTAAAATACATTGAGTTCAGTCATACTTTAAATGCTGATTCACAAGGCAAAGTTCCACACTAGGAAGGGTTGCGGCTCCCATGACATTACCAGTCCCTTCCTGTGCCTCAATCCTGGTAACCATGTTAATCACAAAAGCATTTAAGGGCATGAAAGCTTGCTAGCACACACATACATAGCCAGGAACCCTCTGGATATCTTCCCTGGTGCCCAAGGAAGCCAGGTTTGGTTAAATCCTTGGTTATCACCAATGGGACACGTGACTGTGGTGTTGAGTCCATGGGTGGGTAGTGGATGGGGTGGTTATTCAGCCAGTAAAATGCAGCTGTAGATGCCAGAACCTCTAATTCCCCCCATCTTAATTAAACAGTGTCTGATTAGACTGTGTAGGCAGTGGTGCACCTCTAACCAAGGCATTCCTACAAGAAACCCCCAAGGTTCAGTCTGAGAGAATCTTGGGAATCATCATCTTATACCTGCAAAGCTAGAAACGACCCTGTGGATCATCAAGGCCAGCCCCTCTCAAGGGGGCACAGTGGAGAACTCAACTCCCGGCCTCTGGCTCCCAGCCAGAGACCTACGTAGCTCAGAGATCCATCTTGTTGTTGTTGTTTAGTCTTTTAGTCGTGTCCGACTCTTCATGACCCCATGGACCAGAACACGCCAGGCCCTCCTGCCTTCCACTGCCGCCCGGAGTTGGGTCAAATTCATGTTGGTCGCTTCAATGACCCTGTCCAACCATCTTGTCCTCTGTCGTCCCCTTCTCCTCTTGCCCCCACACTTTCCCAACATCAAGGTCTTTTCCAGGGAGTCTTCTCTTCTCATGAGATGGCCAAAGTATTAGAGCCTCAGCTTCAGGACCTTCCAGTGGGCACTCAGGCCTGATTTCCTTTAGAATAGATAGGTTTGTTCTCCTTGCAGTCCAGGGGACTCTCAAGAGCCTCCTCCAACACCACAATTCAAAAGCATCTATCTTACAACACATTAAAGCCTCAACACTTTTAAAATGGCCGCTTTAAAAAGAGTCACACCATAACGTACCAGAATTTGAAGGCAGGCGTTGGATTTGGCATACAGTTTCTGCCATGCTTGAAAGATTTAACACAAAGGCCAGCATCCTGTTCGTAGCATAAGGGAAATCACATAAGCTTTCCACTGTTCCAGCGCACTCCCTGTGGGATCACTGATCTTAAGAACTGGTTACATGACGCATCTTACAACTAGTGCCAGACTGGGCATGCAACATGGGACCTATCAGATAGCAGGAATCATTGACATAATTGCCCTTCTGTGATCGCATAATGCCAACAGTATACTGGGCAAAGCTTTTTTTTATGCCAGTAGCCTTGCGTCCATCTGTGGGGATGATGCACGCCACAACACTTGGAGGAGTGAAGACCTATGCTTTGCATGGGAGTTTGCAAACACTTCCCTTTTTTGGCCTACAGCTCCCAGTATCCTCCCAAGAGCTGTAGTCCAAGCTCGGCTCCACCTTAAAAGTGTGCCTGTCGAGCTTCCCTCGGCTGCAGAAGCCTCACCTCCATGTTTAAAAACCGATGGAAACCACCAAAAGCTACACATGCTGCAGGGAGATTCCTCTGCTGGGTTTGACACTCTGTGCTGCTTAACCTTGCTATCCTTCCACAAGCAGCAGGTAAAGAGCCCTGCACGCACGCACGCACACACACACTCTGCACAGAAGAGTGTGATCAGCTGTCTCTCAGCACAGCATTCACGCTTTCTTTCTTTTGTGTTGGTGGTGAGTAGGAGGTTGCCAGATGAACTAGAAAGCCGCTGCCTCACAGTGGCCTTATAATTAGACCACCAGGAGGATGCAAAAGGCTCTAAATATCCCGCTACTTCCCCCCCCCCAGCATCCTTGCCCCATGCATCCACATTCACTCCCCATTAAGTGTGTAGTACATTAAGGGCTTTAAAAAAACACCTAGGTATTTTAAAAATGTGTATTCCTTTTTCTTTCTAAACTAGGCTGAGAGCCATGAATTCTGCCTCTTTATTTCCCTTGCCTCCCACCCTCAGTGCAGGAAATAATCAACAAAGGAGTTGAGGTTCAGTATATATAGGAAGGCATCAATCACCTTGCATGGGATATATTTGCTTTTGCATATTGAGTTGTTCGGCTCTTAATTGTTTCCTTAAAATGATTCTGGTTCAGCCCAAGGCACTAGTTAAATGTCTCAGTGTGTAAAAGGGAACAAGTGGCAAATGAAAAAGGAAGCTCAAACAGGCAACACTGCCACAAAGTAATAAATTGATCAACACAGCATATGTGATACTAGTTAATTCATTACTGTTTCCTTCACATAGGACAACCATAGAGCCAATTTCTCGATGAAACAAAACCTCAAACATGAAACAATAAAAATCCATATATTTCCATTTGTGTGTTGCAGAATAATGATAAAATAAAAGCTGTGTCTTCGGTTGTTTAGAAGTTCTGATTATCTATGCTCCGCGTTAATCAGAGCCACTGCCAGAAAGAGCTGCAGGATACTTCTTACCCTATGCCTGAATGTTTAGTTTCATTAAACAAAAATTGAGTCTCTTGTGTGTAAATTGGCCTTCCTCGGTTACTCTCCAACAGTTCTACATGACGAATTACATCATCACATCCCTTTGTCCACACTGACCGGAGCTGATAAGAGCTGCAGCCCCAATGCTGGGAGGATGGTTTGAAGAAGCTATGCTGGTTCTCTAGGAAAAAGGTTCAGGCCACTCAGCAAGTTCCTTTTGCAATAAAATCAGCGGCATAGCATCCAAGGAGCTTTTCTATTTTACAACACTAACAGTTGGGGTCAGGGTGGGAATGCTTGTTTTCTTGGGCATGGCCAGGGCTACGTTGGCTATGCAGTTCTGGGAGCTGTAGTCTAAAAATACAAGCAGTTCCCATCTTGAGCTGGTCTATCCTTCCTTCCGATTATCTCGAGCAAACGGGAGGGAAAAACCACTTCTGTCATGAACATTTCAGAGCTCCAGAAATGTGCCATATTTTGGCGACAACTCCAAGAATCCCCAGGCAGCTGGGATTGACAGTCCGAAGTATTTACAGTTCTCACCATCCAAAACAAGCATTTATGTAGTTCAGAGATGCTTGCTGAAGTCAGACCTCTTGCTTCATTGCCTGTAAGAACAACGAGCTCAGGTAGTAGTGAACGTGGGATGGATTAGGGCCAGGCTACTGAGCAACCAGAAGGGGATTGATCATGACATTCTTTGGGCAACCTAGGAGTCAAAGGACAAGGATATTTCTGATCGCTCTGCAGCTACAAAATGTTGACGATTCCTCTGAGAAGGAAACACAGGAGAGGTATGAAAATGGGCTGAGCTAGAGAAGGGCATATGGCCGGCTGTAACCCTGGAACGCTCCTCCTGAGTGAAAAAGATCCTTGTCTTTGAACCACAACACCTAGAATTCCCAAACTAGTTATGGGAATTGTCGTTTCAAAAATAGTTCTTCCAGATATTGGCAAGAATATACTGCAACACTGTGCAAAATCTCACTTGTTCAGCATTAGCATCATGTCCGTGTCTACACCACACTTCCATCTGGACGAATCCTAGCCATCCTGTTCTCAGTAGGGTCCATATCAGACTACAGTGACTACTTTCATGGAGAGAAAGGCATTAGAAATAAAACAAACAAAATAAATCCGTAAGTATTGTTTATTGATTTTTTTTCTTTTTCTATTTTGCAGGGGTAGGTGGTGAAAGGAGGACATGTCTAGTCAGGCTGGTAGACTCCCGGAATAGCTGAATAATGTTTACATGTCTGAATTGTGTGCTCACCGGAGGAAGACTTAAATGACCTCAGCAGCAAGAGCTTGCTATTTGAATGATGGCAGAGAAAGAGAGAGAGAGAGAGAGAGTCATATCCTTGCAACAGAAGCACTAGCATGTGGGAAAAACAACAAATCAGCATTTCTGAGTGGCAGGATTACAATCTGGGAACAGTGCTAATTGTAAATCTCTGGCTGCATGTGGCTCCATATGGAGAAGGGAGAGAAAAAGGTAGCCACAATTAAGCCATGGGAGTTTGCAAGATCCATGGAATGCACTGGGATGTTGACAAGGCAGGCGGGAGCTTTGCCCCGGGAAAAGGTCCAGGCATCACAAGGTAAGGTAATCAGGATGCACAGTCCCAAAAAGGCTGAAGGAGCATCTGCCAAGTGTTTTCCAACAGAATCAAACTCAAGCCAAAGTGCTGTTCTGGACCTGCACATAATAGAGGCTGCAGGAAAGCTCCTGGTAGTGTGACGGGTTGTTTGGCCCAAGGGGTAACCCAAGAGAAGAGCAATGACATGGACAGAATATGCAAGCCCCAGGCTGCAAGCACGGCACATGCTGCAGTGCCCAGAGCTGGAAAGAGTCTCCCCTCCACCTTTATCTCCCACCAACCCTGCGATGCAAGTTTGTATGAAGGAGGTCAAACCTACACGTGAACCATTAATTACGTATTGCATGCGAAATGGCCAGTGCTTTATTGGCCCTGGGAGAGTAGCTGTCCTCTACCCATGAGAGAAAGAGCAAACAGACACTCGTGTTGCTCCACATGAGCCAACGTGGTGTCATGTGCGAAATGGCCAGTGCTTTATTGACCCTGGGAGAGTAGCTGTCCTTCTCCCAGAAGACTGGCAAGGAAGGCAAGTCCTCTACCCATGAGAGAAAGCGTGTTGCTCCACATGAGCCAACGTGGTGTAGTATTTAGGATGTTGAACTGGGAGATGAGAGACCAGGGTTCAAAGTCCCCTTCAGCCATGCAACCATGGGGTGAATGGGGACCTGTCGCTCTGTCTCTGCCTGACTCCCCTCACACAGTTGTGAGGATACAGAGTGTGGAAAGAGGGCCTTGCATGCAAGCCTTGTGTTCAGTGGCGACCGACCATCCCAAGACCATTCCTTTCTTCACCCCAACACCACCTATAAAATGCCACAGGCTTTTGAAAAGACAGACCAAAAAAGGAGGGTAAACATAAAAGGAATCAAAAGGAATGAGGAAGAGCAGCATCTTTTTCCTTCCCCATTATTCTAGCGACACTGTGTGCAGAGGAGAGGCATGATCCTGCTTGTCCTCCTCTTGGTGCCCAGGAGGATTAGCTACCATCCTCCTGCCAATGCTAATCCATGGTCAAGTGACTAGAGAGCCAGGAAGAGGTGTCGTGGACAGACTACAGTTTGCTGTCCTAGTTTCTCGAGTGCTCAGATCTACGGCTTTGCCCTCTGGGGAAAGACAAGACTGCCAGAGGTCCTCTTGCAGCTGGGGAGCTGGCCTGCTAGCCCAATAAGCCAAGATTCAGCACCTGAAGGAGCACAGCAGTGTGGAGGAGGGAAGGAGGTTTAAAGCTGGTATGGGTCGTGTGAGTGGGAGAGCACTGACTTTGCCTACGGAAGATCCCGGGTTCAACCTCCCCAGCCTCTGCAGAGAAGATCAGTCAAGACTCCTGCCTGAAACTTTGGAAGAATGCGGCCAGGGAGAAGGCAGCTCTTTTTGCTCGTGTGGAAACGAGCCAAACCCTGCAGTCATCTGTTCTTAAATGTGAGGGCACCTCAAAAATCAGTGGTAGAGGAGCTGAACCCCACTTGATTTTTAGGGTAATGCGGCATCTCATCTTCCTTGCGTGCAGAGGGAGCAGTTTCAACCCCTTCCATCTCCAGATCAGACAGAAGGAAAGCCTCCTCCTCGAGGCATCAAGAGATGCCTGGGTGAGTAATTTTACAGCCCTGTGAAACTTTCCCCCCTATAAAATGTCTGTAACTTGCATAAAATGTTGTTAACTTCCTTTCCCTTTGAGGAGCAAAGCATACACATGCCCACACGGTGCATGCCTGCACATGTGCACACAAAGACACACACACACACTCCAAGCACAGAAGGACTAGCAGATTGTTAAGATGGGTTGCCAACGTCCATCTAGTGCTTCAGAGTCTTGAAAGCTCTCTCTGTACCTCCAGCAACGGTACTAATTTTGGGCAAGTGACACAGTCCACACGATATGCAAACTGTGCAGTTTTGCACACATGGACACAAAACCCAGGCAATTCTTGCACACAAGCATGCATCTTTGCAGACAGGCATGTTGTTTCTGCCATTGTGAGAACTCCATCAATGTGAGTTTCTCACCCTCCTTGCCAGTGAAGGAGAGAATGTCTCAACTGTTCCTCCTTTTCAGGGGGGATGAGACAAAGGATAATTTACGTCCCTGCTCCTAGAAGGGCTGAAGACAACCGCAGTGAGCTGCTGCTGCTGGGGGGTGTGTGTGCAGACAATGTGGAGGTACATGAAACAGATGTGTGATTTAGTATATTATAGAACTGTGGAGCTGGAGAAGACTCTAAGGGTCATCTAACTGGATCTACTGCCAAGGGAGGCACCTATGGCTAAAGTATCCCAGACAATTGGCCACCCAACCTCTATTTAAAAACCTTGAACAAAGGAGGATCCCGCACCTTCTAAAGTATTTCACTCCACTGTAACAGCTGTTAAAATTGGGATCCTCTTCCTAATATTTAGTAAGAATCTCCTTTTCCATCAGTTGAATCCACTGGTTCAGGTTCTACCCTCTGGACTAACATAAAACATTCTTGTGCCATGTGGTCACTCATCAGAGACCTCACAGCCTTCCTTTCCTCCAGGATAAATGTGCCCAGCTCCCTCACAGGGCTCGGCTTCTACCTTGGTCTTCCTTCTCTGGGTGATCTAGCTGATCACCTGGGGTGTACAAAGGCATCTGGTTGTTGACCCCTGTCCCTCAGTGACCAGAGCAGAACTCATTGCTCCTTGTTGGCTCCTTCCTGCTAAGGCACAGGGCGGCGGATCTTTGTCCTGATACTCAATGTATGTCTGGAAGCAAACCAACGGAAGAAGCAGGTTAGATCTTTGGTCAACCTGTGCCATCTTTCCACCCTTAAGTGGAAGATGAAACTTTATTTTCACAAGAATCCCATGAGGTAGATCAAACTCAGATAATATGACTGATCCAAGGTCAACCCATAAACATCATGGCTAAGTAGAGATTGGGATCTGGGTTCCTGGAGCCTTATCATGACAGCCTTATCATTGCACGACTGTCATGCCACACCTAGCTGACTCTTTGGAGGAGGAGGAGGAGGAAAATGACCCACCTCAGCACTCTGAAGCCTGAGCCAAAGGGGGAATTCCATGGCCCAGCTGGCAGTGCTCGCTCTCAGACTTAATGCCCACCCTAGTAGAAGGTTTTGAGGGAGGTGAGGTGACCCCTGCCATTCCTCAGTGAACTTCCGTAGTCAAAACAGGGATTTGAGTCCTTGTCTCTTGAGTCCTAATCTAGTGCTAATGCACCACATTGCCACGGCGATATACATGGTTACATACTAATGCTCATTAAATTGAGGGACACGTAGAAAGCCCTCTTCACTATCTCCCGTTGTCTCTGCAGCTGGGAGAAAACAGACAGGGAACAGCTGAAGGAGAGTCTTGCCAAGAAGCAGCTTGTGAAGGAGCCAGGGTAACAGGAGAGCTTGCAACGCTACACTTTTAATTAAGGTTTTGCACCAGGTGAGCTGGGTGGCAGGGTTTTCTCTTGCCCTATAATTCTCTCCCCCTCTCTTTCCCTTTTATTCTCTCTCTCTCTCAATCAGCTTTTAACCGTGGCAAAATTCACCCAATTGCTCACCCAGAATCAAGGTACTTCAAGGGATTTAACAAAATCCATGCAGGACCTTGATCTTTTCAAACTGCCTTTTAGGCTTGCACTTTTTATCCCCCTATTCACAATTAAAAAAGCCTGCCAGGGGGGAGCCTAGCTGGAGGGCGGGCCCGCGCTTGTGCAGACAAACATCACGGGAAATGTTCTGTTCCATACAGATGCTGCCCAAACAGCTGAAGCTTCGAGTGAGGTTATTGCATCCGTCTGCATGTGTGCTGTTTCCAAAACAGCCTGGGTTGTGTTGTGTTATGTTGGGGGACAGCAGTCCAGATTTCTCACTGCCGAGGACTAAACTTCCAGAGGAAGACAAAGAGCACTGGGAAATGTGAATCAAGCTCTGCAAATAATTTGTGGCAGATGTTGTACCCCACCTGTTTCATTTCAGGGGGTCATTTGTAATAGGGTAACGCTTAGGCACTGCAGAGGCATGCCACACTCACCAGTCAAGGTTGTATTGGAGGCGGCAATGAGGATCAGACCACCTGTGAAGGGCACATGTGTATTCCTTGCGTGATAACACTTTCAGATGCTTGTCCGCATATCCACTGGAGATGATCAGTCCTCGTTTACCGCTTGTAGGTCTCTAAGCAGTTTTGCACACAAATTGAATATAGATCTTGGGTCCTTGGGAAATCATTGACTACAACACCCATAGTTTCCGATCAATGGGCATATTAGATGGGACTGATGGGAACTGTTGTCCACAGCATCTGGAAGAATCTAGGTTCAGTTATGCTGACCAGAAGTCCTTGCTATAAGGCTGAAAATATTCTTTTGGTCACAAAACTGTTTTCAGGTGGGTTGTTTTTGTTTTGTTTCCTTTTTTAAAAAAAGAAGACACTCCTGTTCTCCCACGGTTTTTCACCCGGCAAAGAAGATACTGTAGAAAAATCACTCTAAGCCTCAGCGTTATTTTATGCCTTGACATTCTGACATCTGTCTTTTTATTGGCCGTAGAACAAGCTGGCAGGAAAGAAAAGCCTCTGCTTTCAGCTGGGGATAAATTCTACCAACTCACATTTACCATCCAACTCTAGCCACATTACAAACACTGACAAGAAGAGGCAGGGCAGCCTGGAAGAAGGGGAGTCATCACAAGAAACAGCAACTGCAGTATCACCCCAATGGAAGGGACCCTCCCAAAAAACAAGGGGCTCTGGAGTTTCTGCCTGGCCCTCAACACAAGGCAAGGTTCGCTTGTCCAGGAGGTGCTTGTTGGAGCCCTCAAGATGGACTAGATCCTTCTGCTCACTGAGAAGTGGGCAGCCTCAATAAAAGAATGAGGTTTGCATGCCTTTTTGCCTCAAAAGGGGCTTTTGGCTACCCGTCAGCAGTGCCTCCATCCTGTAAAACTGCTTCTAAACATTGCACTTTAACATATGATCGCAGCTTGGAACTAAATTGTGATTTGGAACTACTCTATTGGCAGCTGCAGTGTAAAAAACGGCTTATCTCTAACTGTGGCAACACGGTAGTAAAACTTACGCCTTAATTGTCACAAAGAGAAGTTAGCCCAAGGAATTTACTTACGTCTTAATTATCAACTGAGCAGTTAACATAAGTTACATTACAGTTTACCATCGTAAAAGATAGCCTCTGTCTTTTCACCATCTCTTTTTGTGTTTGATATGGGATCCTGGTGCTGGATCTTTTTTACCTTTCCTTACAGCTTTGCTGACATCACCCTCCTTCCCAGCGAAAGAGAAAGCTAACCTATTAGAAATGCTGCTTTTCTAATGGCAATTTCTGCTTCAAATCATTGGGTCTGATTGCAGGTCAGCTGTCAAATACCAGGATGGCTGGAACGGGGCTTATACCCAAACCTCCCATCCCTGCATACTCTTAACTAGTAGGCGAGGCAGGATTCGGTCCTGGCTCTGAGTTCTTTATGCCACATTGTGGTGAAAAGGCAGCCTACAGAACAGCCTTGCTGAATTCTTCCTGGACTCCTGTCTGTTGTCCCCAGTTTCTTATTCCTTGGCATTTTACCCCAGGACAACTCTGAGAAAGCGACGTATAAAGGTGATGGCAGTTATAGTTCCAAGACCCCAAGGGAATTTAGTTCCGTGATCATTGTGATTGTTAAAAAGCAACTTTGACCGCAATGTATGTTTATAGATCATTGTAAAGAAAAACTTCTGAATGCCACAAATTTCTAGCATTTGGTTTAGCACCACCGGGTTAGAGAAGCTTTTGCTCTGATCCAGCGGGACTTTTCTTTTGCCTGTAGAGACCTCCATTATCAATATATGGTGAGCTTTTTTGCAGGGAGCTGTCCTGCCACTTCAAAACACAATAACAACGATGACTGTATTTACAAACTGTCTTATCATTCATTCCAAAGTCACTGCAAAACATTAGCTATAAACGGGTGTGGTTTTTTGATGACTAATTTGATGGCTGTTTAGTGCAAGGTTGCTTTGGCCTTTATAATGTTCACTTGCAAAACCGTTTCCAGTCCTGATCATTATTACTTATTTTAAAAAAACTCCTGGCATTTGTGCTTCATCTGAACCGAAGACCAATCGTAACTTTTCTTGGCCATTTCCCCGTGCGGAGAAGAGGTGCCTTGGCTTTGCACAGAGGCCCAGGCCAAGTGGCCAGCCATGTAAGTTCTCAGGCGATGCAGCCCCTTGGAGAGGGCATGGACGCTTCGGTTGGTTGATAACGATTCCAGTCAGATGGCCCTCTTGTCCACAGAGCAGCGCTCAAAGGGATGCAGAACTGAGACCAAGCTGTAGGGTACCGTGTCTACATACACGCTCTCACACACAGAGAGACACACAAGGAAACGAAGAGGCAACGTCTGTTCTGAAGTTCCCGTTGATGACAAGGCACAGCAGATGGTGTAACAAACATATCCAAGTTAATGTGGGTGTTCGAATGAGGGTATCGCTGACAAGAACATGTTTTTACATAGACTAGCTCTGTGTACAGTTTGATGGCCTTGAGTCATTTAAATATATTGGTTGTAACATATAAATAAGTCAATATTTAATAATACCAAAAGCCCTGTAATGACACCACCGGGGTGGGGTGGGGGAAGGGAGAGGCAGAGAGATTGAATTGGTCTTTTAAAAGAAATAATTTAATCTGGGAGTCCAGAAATTAAAACTGTCCCTGTTCTATACTGCCCATCAGCATGCCGTGAAAGCAAAGCGTGCTGCTTATATACTGGTCCCATGGCACTTAAAGCACCCTGTGGGTGGTTTGCAATTATGTAGGGTGTACACAGTGCCGCCACCCCCCTGCAAGTTGGGTGCTTCGTTTACCGACCTCAAAAGGATGGGAGGCTGAGTCATCCTTGAGCCGGACACGTGGGATTAAACGTAGGACGTGAGCAGAGTTCTGGATGCAGTACTGCAGTTTAACCACTGGGCCATGAGGTTTTCTGTAAGAAAACGATCATTTTCAGAGGTACTTTATAGCTACAGTGGTGCCTCGCTAGACAGTTACCCCGCATCATAGTTTTTTCGCTAGACACTGATTTTTGCAATCGCTATAGCGATTCGCAGAACAGTGATTCCTATGGGGGAATTTTGCTGGACAATATTTGGTCCCTGCTTCGCAAACCAATTTTCGCTAGACGACGATTTTGACAGCTCCTTCCTCGCTCGTAGAACAGGTGTTTTCGGGACCTAAGCTTTGCAAGACAGCGATTTAAACAGCTGATCGCGGTTCGCAAAGTGGCTTTCCTATGGCCGATCTTTCTTAGACAACAACGATTCTTCCCCAGGTTTCAATGCTTCCAATAGGGAAATGCTTTTCGCTAGACAATGATTTCGCTAAACAGCGATTTCAGTGGAACGGATTATCGTCTAGCGAGGCACCACTGTATTGACCTCTTGATATTAAAGTCCTGGGATTTTTCCAATGTGCAAAAACAACATTAGCTCTGATTTATTTTTATTCCCCGTACCCCCCAGCACATAAATTTTGGGAACAAACACAGGATCACCTGTGCTGTATTTTATCATAAACAACTTGCCTTTAGTTATGAATGTGCCCACACGGCAATACTTTCCAGAATATTCAACCAAGGAAGGGGGAAACCTTTAATTGATCACTTGGGTCTGAAAAACTAAACTAATCCACAAAAGCTTATGCACGAATAAACCTGTTAAGACTTTACAGACACCAAAGACATGGTTGTTTCATTCTGTTTTATGTTGATCCTTTTAGGTTCAATGCCCTCTATGACCACATGGATCTAGTCTTGGGACTACAGTACATGCACAGAAATCCTAACAGGAAAGAAACTGTGTCTGCGAAAAAGCTTCAGTCCAACCCATATCTCAATACTCCAGAACGTGACAGCAAAATAAGATTCTGTTTCCTGAGTCAGATCCTCGGCTCACCTACTTCTAGGGAGGTGGTGGTGGTGAGAATCTTAAGCCTCCTCTTCCTGTCATTGTCTTTGTAAAAAAAATCCCCCAACCCAAGCTGGCTTTCCTATCAGAGGGGAATGTGTGTGTGTAAATCTATCTATCTCCCTCTGTTTTCCAGGACCAGGCACCCCAGAGGAAAAACAGCCCCCTCCATTTCCATTCATGCACAGAGCTGCTTTTCATTCTTAAAAGATGGAAAGGTACAGGTGACCTTACAAAAGCGATGTACAATTTGGCCTAAGATACAGAAGTAGAGTTGGAGTACAACAGCCTTCAGATGCTTCTCCAGACTAGATGGAAATCACCCGCCAGGTATAATCTTTCTTCTTCTTTAAAGCTACTTCTGGGAATTGAACTGCTTGTTAGCTTTCGAGATTCTTTTTTTTTTTAATGCAAAAATAAACCCCACCAAAATCTCAGTTTTCACTTGCTTTTTCAACAGTGTTATTTTCCCTTTCAGAGGCCAAACTTGAGGCCAGTGGAACCAAGTGGTTCTGGAGAGAAGCTGACAAGCATCAAAAGCAGACGAACCCGTCCAGTATCTATTTTCCAAGCCCAGTGACGTGGAAAAAGTAATTTATTAGCAGCAGTAGTGAAAAGTAAATTAGATTTTTAACCTGTTTCAGTTTTCAAAAACTTTGCCAGCTATTTAGACTTCTAAATCAACAGCTTATTTTTAAATAATTAAATGGGGGGGGGGAGAGAATGCAGCCACATGAAGGGCAGCCAATAATCTACAAGGAAATAACTTCTAATAAACCTTAACAAGCGTGATTTAATGATACATACAAAGAAATGATGTCTGGTACCTTAATGCTATTATTAACCAGTAAGCCTTCATATTCCAAAGCTTTAAAAAAAAAAGTTTATGGCTCCATCCAACAAAGCAGGCTGCAATCCAGAAAATTTAATTCCAAATAAAATTTGCTGATCTTTGAAGTGCTACAAGACTTTTGGTACCTTGTGCCCACAGGACAAAAAAATTAATTATGACAATGTGATACTCCAAACCTGCTGTTTGAGGCGGCTGCCTCACTCTGGCTAATGTTAGGGCCGGCCCTGCCAAAAACTTGCCTTGATGGAATGGAATGGGGCGGGGCGGGAGGATATAACATAGCTCTCTGAAGGTGGGGTTTCCTTTTTGACCATGATTTTGATGAGGCTCAAGAGCAGCAGGAGAAGTGTTTGTTTCCAAATCCTGTCAGGGAAGGCAAGGGGCAAGCAGGAGAGCAAAGGCAGACTCCCATAAAATCCAGCAGTCCGATGTGATAGAGTCGTCACTCTTGGAGTCAAGGGTCCCCTTTCTCTTGCTCATTATCCATTAGCTCTTCCTTTATAAAATGGGTGCATTCTTTGCAGAAAACCAGCTCACATGGAGTGGGTTGTGGAGAAGGAAAGGGCAGATGTTTTAACAGAGGCAAAAAAACCAAAGATCCTTGTGGCAGTTGAGCACTCAGCTCTGCGGCAGGAGGAGTTCAATTTATGCAAATAAATTGGCTTAGAGGCAAGTCTGCAGGAAGGTGCTGGGAATTAACCTCCTCCTGCCCTCTTATTGGTCTGCCATCCATCAATGAAAGCCATGATAGAAAGAAGACCTCTCTTTAGAATGACGTACATGCACTTAGATGTACAAGTTCCAGAAGGTAGAAACGTTGACCCTAAGACATAGGGGCAGGGTTTGCAGAACCTCAGATGCCAATGGGGCAACCAACAATTCACTGATACAGATACTTAGCAGAAAATCTACATTAAAACCTTAGATTAAAACACACACACACACAAGAACTGTCTCCATGTCTTGGAGCTAGGTGTTTCTGATTTGTGGTGACCCTCTGCATAAGCAATTTCCCGGAGATCCTGCCCATCCTGGCCCTCCTCAAGTCTTGCAGACTCAAGGCTGTGGTTTCTTTTACCGACTGAACCCATCTCATATCATCTATTGTTATGTATGGGTATAAAAGATCCACTGCTTAGGCTGGGTTCTATTCTGTGCCTCCTCGCATCCTTCAAATTGGATATATCAAGATCTTGTGTAAAGATCTGCAGAAAGATGAGTGCTGGCAGCTTTTTAAAGTTGTGCCTTTCATACGATGGACCGCAGCTCCTAACCGATGGCTAGAGTGGCTGGCATTCAAAACATCTGGGGCCAATATCCTATCGTTTTCCTCCATGCATGGTAGCACAACTTGCGGGAATCACGAAGGCCAATTAACAAGGTGTCATCCAAGGGCCTGATTGTCATGCAAGCGGGTGTGAAACTGGCACCTCACTAATTTGTCTCAATTAACCCCTGTAAGGTCTGTGATTGCACTACAGTGCAGAAAAAAAGAACAAGATTTTGGCTACAAAGGTTGCCAGTTGGCTACTCAGCTCTTGGAAATTCAAGTCTGTGGCTTCCTTTATTGAGTCAGTCCATCGCTTTTACGGCCCTCCTCTTTTCAGGCAGCCTTAGCTTTTCCCAGCGTGGCTGCCCTTTCCAATGAGTCTCATCTTCTCATGATGACACTTGGTACTAGCTGGAGCCTTTTGTTTCTCTTCGGGAAGAGCTGCCCGCCTTCCTGGTACAGTGGACCCTTGACTTACAGACGGCTCGACTTACAGACTTTTCGAGTTACAGACTTCTCTGGCTGCAAAATTTAGATTCGACTTGCAGCCAGAGAATTGACTTACAGACCAGAAAAAAACCAAAATGGAATAAAAATAGAATAAAAACCACTGGTTATGGGATTAATTGGTTTTCAGTGCATTGTAGGTCAATGGAGATTCGACTTACAGACTTTTCGACTTGCAGCCACCATTCCAATACGGATTAATTCCTTAAGTAGAGGGTCCACTGTACTTCCTTGGGGTGGGAGTTTAAAATACAGCAGTGCCTCCATGTGCTTATTCTATTCTTTGAAAGGCAGTGGTCTTTGGACTGAGTTTTCTTCTTTGGGAGCAGAGCTTCCCAATCATAATTGTGTGCTTTAAAATCTGAAATCTTTCCACCCTTTCCTTTTGTCTATCTGACCCTGTGTGCCAGAACAAGAGTTCAGGGTGACACAGTCAAAACATAATTTCAGTTGAACCGCAAAGACAAGTATATTACATTTCTATAATAAAGCTGCTGTCTGTCATGGGAGCCAGTACAAACTGTGAAGCGGAAGAGGCCTGTTGATGGAAGCGCACTCTCCTTTAAACACCCAAGCGAGTGCACCAGCCCTACACCTCTCTCTCTTTCTCTCTGTGTCTTTCAAAATGTTATTTACAATTTGGACTGTGCTATTGGCTTGATGCTTTAACATAAAGAGAGCTGTCCCCAACAGGTGGTCTGAGGACAAGTTGATCTTGACTAGACAGGGGGAAGATTTAGCATGGCAAGAATCAGGCAGGTTCCCTAATAGGGGGTGTGAGAGCAGTCCAGTCTAAGCTCAGCCCATGATAAGTTACTCCCTAAAAGTAGTTAGTTAAAATTATTGCCCAAATCCCAAAAGTAATGATTTGTTGACATCAGTTACAATTTTTTAAAAAAATTAATCGATTTACTTTACCCTAAGCATTTGCTGTCATGCACAGAGCTGCTCAACCGGGGAATGAGATGCTTACACCAACATCTTAAATTTGATTCAATTCACCACTGAGGTGAATTGCTAATAGGTTTACGCGAATGGATTTACACCAGTGGGCATAACTAAGAGGATTCTGGCCCATGTCTGTGATTTATGCCAGCAAGTTACCCCCGATTGAGTATTTGTACAAATCCTTTAATCCATAAGCACTAGGGTAACCCATATTCACATTTTTCCTTTTAAACACAGTCAGGTTAGGTGTCAGGAGACAAGAGCTATTTTTGCAATCATTCAGTGGTACTACTGAGGTGTAACTTTTGTTTAATATGCACCCATTCTATGTCTTAATATAATATTCCATGTTTCATTGTATCTTCTCCATTTTCTTAGTTGGCCCACTTTACTTGCATTACTTTAAATGTTATTACTTTCCTAATACTCACGCGTGGACCTCATGTTAATCCATTCTGGATTGAACATGACAATTGCTGTTATTTTTAATGCAATCTCTTGTCCGTTTTCACAGTTTATGAGCATTTATGAGGCTCTTCCATCATTTTGTTTATTCCATCAGTAAATTCTGTACTGGTTTACTTTTTGCAGTGGTTTAATGATAATTCTTCGTTGGCTTACTGGAGGAGGAGTTTGGGTGTCTGAAAGAACCCAGTGATCAGGTGCAAGCAATCCGGGAGAAGAAACAGCAACCCACCCATGTGCTTAAATCCAGCTTTACGAAAGGTCTGTTGGACTCTGAAACTAAGAATCTTAACCCCACTTCCCATCCTCTTTCCTTCCCATCCATTTTCCTTTTGTGTTGCATCTTTCAGACTGGAAATCTGTGATCAGGGATTTTTTTTCCCTTTCTCAGATTTGTAAAATGCTCCAAAATGTCTTAAATGAATAAATGCCTTCTCTTGTCATGCTCCAACTGTTGGCAGGATACAGGTTTGGTGTGACCGAGATCTTACATCATCTTACTCTCCCTTTTTGAAGAAAAAAACAAAATCTAGAATCTCCTCACCTTCCAGCATATTTTAAATGAATGAAGTCATAAAAGATGTTAGCTGTCCTTGGCGATACGGAAACTCTTTCTTAAGGGAAGAGCCTTCCGGGATCATCTCAAGGTCCACCTAATCTGACGTGATTTACAAAGATCCAGAGACCAGCAGCACAGCTGATGCTTTCATGCTCTCCTGACACGCGCTCTCTGCTGAACCCCACGTTTTGAGTTTCCGGTGACATTTACAGACATCCAGAACAGTTTTATTGTTACAGACTTTTTCCTAAATATATCTCTGAGGGACATCCAAGCACTGTTTACACAGGGTTCTGTGGAGGCCCCAAATTATTTTGGAAACTGGGTCTGTGGACTGTTGGTGCTTTAGCATTACACCAAAGTGCAAGAGGCAAAATTTCCCTTTTGCTGCATTAGATGAACCCCCTGAGTGTTTCCAGGGGGTAGCCACATTAATCTGTCAAAAGCCTGAACAGCCAAGAACCTTACTGCCCTTTCAACGCTAACGAGTTTTATTTGGCCAAAGTTCTGGTGGGCTGTTGCCCATTTCATCACGAGTATCTGCTGAAGCAGGCTGCCGCCGCCCATCAAACCTTCTGCCAGACAAAACTTACTAGTCTTTCTAATGTGATAAGAGTCTTTCTTTTCAGTTGTTGCTTTCTTTTTTCCCCCAATACAACAGTGGGACAGGATTTTGAAGACGGTCTGTTTGGGGCAAGAGGGGAGGGGAGACCCTAGGTCAATGGCAGGGACTCTGCTTTCTACACAGAAGGCTTGAAGTTCAGGCCTCCACATTTCCAGCTGGAGGATCAGGACTCAACAGGAAGGATGGGAAAGTGGGCAGTGATCCTAAAAAGCCACTGCCAATGAAGTCTGGGGACTGCCAAGTCAGCGGGGTGATAAATCTGCTCCAGATTTAAATCCAAAGTTTGAAGGAACTATGTGAACTGCCCAGCCTATTTTGGGAAGCCATGTTCAGCACCCTGGAGAGCTCTTTGAAAGTTGAGATGTACCTCCATCAGATATGAACTGCTCCACTAGTACCAACCAGAGCCACAGACTTCTGCTGGCTGCTGCTGGTCAGAGCTGACAATATTAGCTTAGATGGGTAGTTGTGGAGGAAAGCTTGCAATGAAAAAATGCTTCCTACCTGGCACCAGAGCTATTTAGAATGGCTGAAACATCCTCCCTCTTGAACTTGAAGGACTAAGTGAGTCCATCATTTGCCCGTTTGCCTTGTTTTTCTCTGTGTGTGTTTTAACTGGGGGAGGGGGGGAGAAACTGCTGATAACAGATACAGTGGCCATATCCTTCTTTGTCTGGGTGTGGGCTGAAAGCAAAAGCCTTCTCTGTTTATCTCAGAAGGGCACTATCAAGACGAGCAGGAAGAAATTAGACAGTGGAAGACAAAAATATATTCAAAGGGTAGAATTATGTATGCATAATTGCGCTGCTCTCTGGGGTGCCTGGATGAACACATGCCTTCACTTTGGGAAGTCTCTTTCCCCGAACCAACTTATTCTAATGAAGCGAAGGGGAAGCTGCCCGGAGGACTGCAGAGGTGGGGGGGACTGGGGAACTGGGGGGGGGCTGGGCGAGAGCAGCTCTGGAGATACTGGATATCCCCATGCTCACTGGAAGCAATGAAAATGCAACCCCAACTTTGTAACCACCAAGCAAGAACTGACATGGAAGGACTTAAATTCTGCAGGAATGCAACACACGTCTATAATATATGCGCATGCACTGGGAAATGGAGCCGTATCCCCCTCTCCCTTTCTTTCCTCTCTCTCCTTCTCAATTGCAAAATCCATTCTGACGATTCTCCCCTAGAAGTGCATTTTGTCTCCGTTTGTTAATATTGTAAATACATTGTGTGTTTTTTTTTTAAAATCAGAGTATTTCTGAGTACATCGTCCTTCTATCATCTGGTTTATTTTATTGTCATTTTATATTTATTTTATTCTTACCTAATGTTCCTTTATTACATATGCTCTTCAAATATTGCTTGTAAAACAATTTTATGTGTTCATCTCTCAGTGTGTGTGCTTTATAAAATAAAATGTGTCTGGAGCACTGTTGGTCATTTTCAGATGTTTTTGATGAGCCATTTTGAGTTTACCTGGTAGGGATAGGAGTGGGGAGTGGGTGGGAAGCACAGCATAAAACCTCTTAGATAAATAAAATCAACAGAGTTTGGTCAGGTAGAACAGTGGCGTTTGTTTTTATTTCTTAAACATTTCATCCTGCCTCTGGCTGTAACCGGCCTCCAAGGTGGCTACTGTGCCCAAATGAAAACAAGACAGGTATTGGAGAGAAAACAGGAACAAAACCAGCCAGGAAAGTTAGAAGTTAGTTGTGTTGTTTGGTTTGGTTTGGGGTTTTTTTGGCTATGGAAATAGCCGGGAGAGGGATGGCTCAGTGGGAACGCCTGGGGGTGGCCATTCCCTCCAGATCGGCCACTGGACCTGGCAGCCTGAGTCTGCTTCTGGGCTTGGCCATGCAAGGAAGACTGGAGACCAGGGGAGCAGGAGAGTCCCCATCCTAACACATTGCCTTCACCCCATGCGGCTTGGATTGTTGATGTAGCTGGACAAACCCTCAAGAAGCTTCAAAACACTGGGTGCTCAGAGCCCACTGACACAGACCTGCAGGTGCGCGTTATTCACAGAGAAAATCCCATTGATTTCCATTTGATGGAATGCCATTTTGAATGGCATTTGCTCACCATAAATAGCATGCGTTGGATTACTCCCTTAATTGCACAAACACCATTAGCCCATTGATTTTAGAATTTTTCTTCTGAGAGTCATAAATCATTCCCCCAAATAGCTTCGAATACTTCTGGTGAAACAGTAGCATGTCTGTACGTGGACATTGACACAGATGCTTCAGAAGCCGATTTGGCTTTTCCATTTACTCCTGTGTGGCAGTGTAGTGTAGCGGATAGGGTGTTGGGCTGGGATTCAGGAGAGCTGAGTTCAAATCCACACTTGGCTGTGGAAACTCCCCAAAGGGATGACCCTGGTAGAACCGCTCACTCCTGAACTGCCTCCATAACTGCCCATCCCACGTTTTCAGACCGGGAGTGGTTGTACTTCTGCTACTCCTTTAACTGTGCTATCAAGAGTAAGCTGAGCAGGCAGATCAAATAAAGAGTTTCGTCCGCTCCTTTTCACCTTTTCACCCACCTCTCCCTACAACGGGGTGCAGAACTGCGAGATTCAGCACAAAACCATAAGAAGCCACACTAAAATGAGGGAGATTAATTTGGCAGCCTCAGAGAAACAAACCAGTGAAGGAAGCTTTTCTTTAAAAGCAGAAGAAATATTTACTGTATAGAAATGCTTCATATATTTGTGCTTGGAAAGCCATTTTTAAAGAAGTAATTACCGTGTTTCTCCGAAAATAAGACATGGTCTTATATTAATTTTTGCTCCAATGTAAAACTCAGTAGGTCTTATTTTCAGGGGATGTTTTATTTTTCCATGTACAACAATGTACATTTATTCAAATACTGTACTGTTGTGTCATTTTCTGGTTGCAGCACAAGGGTGGAGGGTGGGGTTTCACTTAACTGGGGCGTATTTTGGGGGTAGGGCTTCTATGAAAAATCATACAATGACTTATTTTCAGATTAGGTCTTATTTTCAGGGAAACGGGGTAGTTGTCATTCTAGTTTTAAGGCTTGGCAACAGATAACTAGCTGCTGCCATACCTGTGGTGTTTTTTTTAAAAAGTGTATCTTCATTTTCTGAATTTGTGAAAAGGAACTGCAGGAAATTACTTTTGTTGCTTGAGAAACATCTTAACGCTTTAGGCTGCTGGTCTGTGATACTAAACACAGTGCCTTTCTGTCCACGGTGACAGCAGGGGAAGTAATGTGTTACAAAGTAACACATCACTATCAACTAATTCAACCCTGAGTACAAAGTAACACGTCACTATCAACTAATTCAACCCTGAGTACAAAGTAACACGTCACTATCAACTAATTCAACCCTGAGTACAAAGTAACACGTCACTATCAACTAATTCAACCCTGTGTGCTCACGGGAAGGACAGATCCTGAAGCAGAGGCTCCAATACTTTGGCCATCTCATGAGAAGACTCCCTGGAAAAGACCCTGAGGTTGGGAAAGTGTAAAAGCAAGAGGAGAGAAGGGGACGTCAGAGGATGAGATGGTTGGACAGGGTCATTGAAGTGACCAACATGAATTTGACCCAACTCCGGGAGGCTGTGGAAGACAGGAGGGCCTGGCGTGCTCTGGTCCATGGGGTCACAAAGAGTCGGACACGACTAAATGACTAAACAACAACAATCAACTAATTCCTTTTTTAGTGGCAGTAACTGCCCGTGTCGTTGGCAGTGGCTTATCGGATTGCCTGGACGGGCTGAGGAAGCCCTCCTGGAAGTGCTAATGGCCTCATTCTCTCCCCCCCCCCCCAAATGTGCTTTTACTACTAGAGTGCCTTCATGCCAAAAGTGCTGTAAATGCACCCATACTGTAAGTCTGCTGGGGAAACCATCCCTTTTAGCGGCTGCGGTGCCAACAGCCAACTGGAAATGGTGCATGGAGATACTCTAGAGAAGAGGTGCCCAAGCTTTGGACTATAACTCCCCGAATCCTCAGGTTGTGTTGCCAATCAGAAAGAACGGTAGGTGTTGTAGTCCAAAACCCCTGCTTTAGAGACAGCACTACTTTGCTTCCAGCTAACGGCATGCAGTCAGTTGATTCGACTCTTCGTGGCCCATCAGATCCCGGGTGAGACTGCGGCTTATCCATATATTCTGTCACAAACGATAACTCTACCCATTCCCTGCCTTTAGGCGCAAGACTACATATCAGAGGGTCCTCTTCCAACGGGGTCCTCTAAAATACTGTCATGCAAAAGATGGGGGGGCAGGCTGCCATTACAGATAAGCCCTGGCACCCTTACACGGTGCTGCTTGCATCTCCAAGTAACAACATGCAAAACGGTATGGCTTCCTCACAAGAAAGGGCTGTACAGCTTTGTTATTTTTTTCGCTACGACAGACTCAAACAGCCACCCCTCTTAGAAACTCATCAAGATGGCCAATTTCACCACAGCTGGACTCCCGATCTGAGCATCTATTAAACAACATACACGCTACTGTAGCGAGACTTCAGACTTCAAGTAGATTCTGATGTTAGTGCAGGTTGTATGTCGGCTTGGACGCCTCCAGCTTAACACAACTCGGTGTTTTCCACCCTTTAGTTTTACATGCTTTTAAAATGCTAGTAAGCCTTCTTGAAATTTTATCTGCAATTTCGAAGGGAACAGTACAGTACGCCTGCCTCCCCACGCATTGTGATAAACACAGTAAAGCGCTTTTACGTAAAATGTACTGTCCAATTTATGAGATAAAAGGATGTGGATCAGGTCACATGAACTGCAACATAGAAACTTCGTTTTATTTGGCTGCATTCTCGTTTTTTTAAAAAACCTGCTCTGCAATTTAAATGCAGACCAATGGTGATTTCTTAGCTATATCCTCGTCTGGCAGGTGACATTTTCAACCCAATTAGTCAGCTTTGAGGTTTCTTTTTTCCTCCCACCTCCTGGTCATCATGGGTTTTAATGAAATCAGTCCAGGGTAAAATCAAAGCTTCCCTTTGCATCTTTGTGCTGCTAATGTGAGAACTGGCCACTCCTTTCTTCCCATGACTACTCTTTACAACA